TCAGCACCCCGCAGGAGTGCCCACCACCAGTAGCAACCCCCAGGCAGCCTTTGCAGTTGGCCATCTTCACGATATAAGGTGAGCATACATCACAATAGCACCCGAGCCAAGGTACACGGCCCTTGGCCTTGCTCAACGGATCTTCGGCCGCTTGCTCCTTCTTGGCCAGCCATTCCTGCACGTACGCACGTGCGGCCTGTAGCCGGAGCCATCTTTCTGGATCGCCACCTTTGTCCGGGTGGTACACCAAAGCCAGCTTCCGGAAGGCTGCTTCGACCTCCTCGCTCTTGCCGGGGACGGATTCCAGCTCCAAAAGGGTCAGAGCTTCTGCAAGGCTCTTGGGTCGCAGAACTTCGGTCGGTCTGGCAGCCATGGCGTCTGGAGACAAACTACTCAGGCAAGCTTTTGGATGCCTCGGTGCTGAAACGCCTGCACGAGTAACAAAACTTGTCAAGTTCTGGGTTTTGGGTTGTTGGTTTCGGGGTTTGCGTTGTTTCGGGATGCTCCGGGTTCTGGCCTTTGGGGAGGAAGCTTTGGGGCCGGACCTAAACTGTGCCCATGCATGCTACAGACTCCGTGCCTGCCTGCTTGATTGTGGAGGCCGGCACGGCACACAGAATTTCAGATGATACCTAGAGTCTGCTTTCGGACTTGCAACAGACAGCTCTGACTGTGACATGAAAGCATGTTACCTCGTCAGGAACATGTTACCTAGTCTCACAAGCTCCAGGCACTCTGTGACCCTTTTTGAACCACACCCCTCGTCTCAGCTGTGGTTTTCCCCGTCATTGTTTCCATGCGGCATGGAAGCTCCCTAGACCCTCAACCAAACTTCAAGTCCCAGAAAGCCGCAGATCCTAAAACTGAACCCTCCGAGCACCAAAACCCCCAAGTCGTTTCAACCCGATTTCAACCCCAACAGGCCGCAACCAAGCCGACCAAGCCTAGCCCAAGTCACAAAGTCAAACCCCCCTGAAACCCTCTCCACGCAACTACATGCTTGATTCTTTGCAAAAACGAGAGAGAAAAACGAGCAACAACAATGAAAAATAAAACACCCAAGCTCAGGCACCCAAACCCCAAACCCTAAAACCCCAAACCCCTTAAAACAGCCCTCGGACCCCGACCTCCCCCAGCGACGAGGTCGCAAACTTCGGCGAGGCGACCTGCCAGTTCTCCGGCGTTTTTGCACGGCACTCAGGCTTATTTTTTCTTGGTTAAATGCGGTTCAGGGTTAAGGGTTTAGGGTTTAGGGTTGAGGTTCAAGGTTTAGGGTTCAGGGCTCAGGGTTTAGGGGTTCGGGGTTAAGGATTTGGGGTTTAGGGCTCAGGGTTTAGGGTCGCAAGCCAGCTGAGCATGCTCCAAAATTGGTAGCTCGGGGTTTTGGCGTGACCTGCTCCCAAATTCTGGGGTTTAGGGTTTAGGGTTAGGGTTTAGGGCTTAGGGTCTCCCGAATTTGAGTCTTCAGAGATCTTGGCTTTGCGGTTAGTGCAACGCAAGGTTTCGGATCTAGGACGATTTACTGTAGGGCGCTGGCACATATATATATATATATATAAATATATATATATTCACGCAGCGTCTCAGGGCATCCAAAAGCTCCTCAGGGCTTCTCGGGTTTCTTTGAGCGCCGAGTATGGCTAATCAGCTAATTAGACTGGGCCTTGGTGGGTATACGATTGCAAGAAGGGATAAGGTGTAGGGTTTAGGGTTTAGGGTTTAGGGTTTAGGGTTTAGGGTTTAGGGTTTAGGGTTTAGGGTGTTATGGAGAAGCACACCCTGTGAAGAACCCCTTTTGCATCGCACATCGCGCAAACAGTTCTGTAACCTGGCGGAATGCACCTGGCATTCTGCCGCCCCAAGTGAAACTCACGACTGCCGGTGGATTGAATCAGGTACATTCGCGATCCTACATGCTTATTCTGTCCTTGTTCGTAGCTTGTGATTGTTGTCCTACGTCCCGTTTGCTTCCGAGACATGGGGCTCGGATATGGGGGTTTCCGAAAATAGGTACCCTAAATAATAGGTTCCTTATCATAAGGACCCCCAAAATAAGGTACCCCTTATTTTCGGAAACTCCTATATGCTTTGCGTTTGCAAAGAGCATCTCCTTCAGATCAGAGGACACAGCTCTGCAGCTCGGAGAGCAGTTCCTGCACCTGGGAAGACTGTATGTGGGAGTTTCCGAAAGTTAGGGTACCTTATTTTGGGGGTCCTTATTATAAGGATCCTACTATTTAGAGTCCTATATCAGGGTCCCCTATTTTCGGAAACCACCATGCAGCTACGCTTGTTCAGGTTCATGGCATTGAGTGAGTAAGAGTTCTCCACTGCCAGGCTTTCTGGGAGTCGTGAGTTGTAGTCGTCGTTATGCTTAGGATACTTGGAGTCTTGGCAGCGATGCCGCTGGTGGGTAACACCACCGGAAATCGTGTGCGAACGCACAGGGCGACAGTTGTACCGAAAGCCAGCGTGGTAGTAGCAACAACAATAGCAGCAAGAGTAGGAAAGATGCCGCCTGATACTCGTCGTCGGCTTCCTCGTTATGGTCACCGTGCTTGTCGCCGTCGTCGCGGTCGCAGTCGTAGAATACATGCTAGATAGTGAGGAAGTGGGTAAAGGACGGTGGGAAGTACGTAGTCGTAGCAGCAGTAGTAGTCGTCGCCGAAGATATAGAACTAGAAGTAGAAGAAGAAGTAGATGTAGAAGAAGTAAGTAGTAGTAGTAGTTGTCGTAGGAGTAGGCGTCGGAGTAGGAAGAGTAGGATGAAGATTAGCAGTAGGAGCACAAGTAGACGTAGGAGTAGAAGTAGCAGTAGATAGCAGTGGTTGCCGTAGTAGCAGTACTGGCAGCGGTAGCTGTATTAGCAGCAGTAGTCGCCGTCGTCTAAGAAGTCGTAGCAGCAGCAGTTGTTATACGAGGAAGAGGAGGAGAAGGAGAAGTACATGTAGTAGTAGTAGTAGTAGTAGTAGTAGTAGTAGTACTAGTACTAGTACTAGTACTAGTAGTAGTCGTCGTCGTCGTAGTAGTAGTAGTAGTAGCAGTAGTAGTAGTAGTAGTAGTAGCAGCAGCAGCAGCAGTAGCAGCAGCAGGACTGAGAGTAGTAGTAAGAGTAAGAGGAGCGGGAGTAGGAGGAGAAGAAGGAATATGAGTAAGAGGAGGAGTAGTAGTAGAAGAAACAGAAGTCGAAGCAGTTCTAACTTAGTTGTATTGGAGGCACAGTATGCAACACACCGCACCAGGCCTCCAGAAATTGATCCTGCTCCAGGCAGCAGTCAATCACGGCGGCATATGTCACGGCCTCAAGGGTCGGATACTTTGAATCTTCGTCTCTGCTCAGTGCACCAGAAAGACCCATAAACCCCAAAAACATCCCTAAGCGCTGAACAGAACTCCTACAGTAATGCTCCGGGCATGTGCACGCTCGCTAGTGCAACGGTAAGATGGTTACAGTGACTCCGAGCAGATAACCCAGATTCAAGATTCCAGCGAAGATCTGACAACTGCAAGCAAGGGCATCTGTGGCAAACTGCGACAAGAGACGTCTGGCCGCACGCGCTCCTCCTGCATCTGAGAAAAGATCTCCAAAGCCTTCGCCGTTTCGTGGCTGTCTCGGTGCTTGGGTTGGGAGCCTCTCTGGGCTGAGGGATTGTAGTGCATGATCTCTGCTATCAAAAGTGTAAAATCGAACATATATATGATGTTGTGTAATATATTTATACATACACATATAAACATATATATGTAAGTACATGTATATATATATATATACATAATTATATACATAAGTATATACTATAGTACCTTAAGCATCTTTCCCGCCATGGCTGCTCTCGGGGCGAGCCACTCCAGTCGCTGACTTGCGCTACTTCTGCTGCTGCTGGTTTTTGCAGTACTGCTAAGAATAATTAATCGTAATAGTAGGAACACTAGTAGGAATGGTAGTAATAATTTAGTGACCATAGTTATCATTTATCATCATAATATGTCATAATCATAGTCATATTCAGTATAGCTGAAGGGTTTAGGGCCTAGGCCCTTACTGGGCCCTTGGGCTGGAGGGTGGGTGTCGGGTTTAGCAGTGTGGTTTAGGGTTTAGGGTTGCGCTGCACAGCTTCGGGTCAAGCCTTGACTCTGGGGGCTTTAGGGCTTCAAGGTTTGCATCCCTAGCAGAGCCCGCGGAGAAACATCGTACGCCCGCTTCTCTGTACCGAGTCAGAATGAATCCAACCGAACTCGATATCACCCTCCAACTCAGCCATCCGCGCCCTGGAAGCCCCGACCCAAAGCCCCTTTCTACGCTGAAGCATCCTCCTTTTGTCTGAGTCCCCGAGCCCTCTCGGAGTCGCCCAGCCGCTGGCAGAGCTCCAGCGCGGCACCTCAACCCCCCCAACTCCCAAACCCTATCTTCGGCCCAGTAAAGCAAAGTCAACTTTGGGGTTCAAGAGTCCCAGAGACTCCAATATCCCTTAATTAAGGAATATACCTTAAATCATATCAAGGATCCTACTATGATTTAAGGTATATTCCTTAATTAAGGGATATTGGAGTCTCTGGAGTCATCAAGGTGAAGAGCCTTTGGGTGCAGAGTACGGTTCGAGCTTTTGTAGAGCCGCCGCGAGGTCGATCCCGCTCGCGAGCAAAGGGGCATCGCACGCCATCGCCTCCTTCTTCGTCTTCATCACCACCGGAAACCCTAAACCCTAAACC